GTTTTTGATACCGGATTGAAGCGGCGTAAGCACCGTCCCCTTGCCTTTAGTGACCTATGGAACCATTTAAGCAGGCCACGACTCCATGGTATTTGAGCACCTGCAGTGCATTATGAGGTAGATTTATTGAACTCATCACTTGGTCAGCCACCTTGCTCACATATCAATGTGAAATTCAGCAATAAATGTGTAGCTAAACGATACCGTGACTTTAGTCTGTTACGGAATTGACTGTGCGTATATCTGGTTGGTGGCTAAGTTATGTGAATGATGAAGCTCTTGCATTGTCGCCCGTTGATTGGTGGTCTTGGGTCAGCTTTAGGGCAGATTATTCGTGTTTTCTGAATCTAGTGTTAGCTGTGTGAATTGGGTTGCTCAATTGACCAGCAGACGTCTGAGAAACGAGTTTGTCGAACTGTTGAAAAGTTTGGTAGCTGACAGGTTGCCTTACGCGGTGATCATTTTTTTCGACGTGACTCTAGTAATAGTAGTTGAAGGACAAATTTAGTCTTGCTCTGTTTCATGAAACTGTTTAGGTCCAGAACGCAGCAAGAACGAACAAAATTAGCATATGTATGCTCGTGAAAAACTGTTCCTTGAGAATTCAAGATAATGAGGATGATATTTACCCGGTTCTATGAGTGGCCTAAATTCGGTCATTTTGGACAGGTGATGAGACCCTTTCTGACTAAAGGGATCCTCAGTAGGGGTGATTCGTGACTGACAGTCAAAATTTGAATTGGCAGGCGTGCACAGTTTTAGAGTGATGTTACACGACAAATTTTTTTCTTTAAACCACATAGCAGGCATCCAAAAAACTGACCGACAGTCAGATGACTCCAGAGTGTTTAAAGTCTTGTATTGTCGCGCATTGAATCTAATCCGCGAAATTTGCCCAATTGATTTAGGACTGGTGCTGTGAGTAATCCTCCCAGAGTTGCTTTCTTTCAGTTGAAAATGAATAAGGGGCTTAATGATAGGAAATCATTCAACAGCTGAACACAGCGAATATCACCGGCGATGTTGTCATTGTACATTTGCAAAGGGTTAAAAATGATAGACCTATATTTGTGATTATGCAAATACGATTTTTTTTAATAAATATGTGTTCTCTTCATCGCTTAAGGCTTAGGGATTCGAATTGTGCTGCTTGAATTGGAGATGCTTATCAGATTGAAATTTCGGGGAATCTCCTTGGTCGTTCAAGACATCAGACGTGATTTGACGAGGTAGGAAAACCGAATTACGAGATGGGAGAAGAAAGTTATGTATAGTGGCTCTAATGGTTTGCGAAAGCAAAGAAGATAATGTATCGTATGCACAGTTGGATCAAACAACTTGATCTTGTAGGAAGTCGTTGTTGATTCAAGTCTATGTTGAGTGGTCTAACTTTCTGAAATATAAAAACTGAACAGGCGAATGCAGCACTATTTTTCAATCCCTTATTGTTAGTAGACGAAGAGTGTGTCGTTTGTTTAGAATAAGACACATTCCAAGCAGCTGCCCGTCAAGATGTAACATTCGCGCTGATGTAGCTGTTGTCTGCGGACTTTTAGTTGTTTCCGAGAATGTGGGACACCTCGCCTGTTGCTGTTGCATCTTCTGAATGTTAAATTAACTTCGGCTGGCAAAGCAGCTACCGGGCAGATGCGTTGAGCAGTCAGCTTCTCTTCATAAACTGTTTAAATGGGAATGCCCAAAGTTCATTTAATAGTTGGTGTTCATCAGTTTTGTTTAAATCATCTACAAATCAGAACGTCGTTAGACAAATAGTTCACATTCGTTCGTATTTTTATGCCTCTCACACTTTTGGTTCATGATATGCCGTTTTGGGTAGGTG